CTAAGCAAAACTGATGTATACTGGATACTAGACTTATGGATTGGGCGGTTTGGTTGTTGCACGAACATTTATGAAATGACAGGTGAAACTATAAAATTGATTTAATGATCCTCTATTATGAAGTATTTGAGAGGAGAATTACAATATTCTATTGGATTAATGGATTGCTTGTTGATTTTTATGCTTAGCTTGTTAAATCAATGCTTAGTTTTCAACATGCTTTGAAGGACTACCTATGGTGGTATATAAACAAGGAGTTTGTGGAGATATGATGTGTGGTTTATATTTAATTTGATGATGCATTTTTGCTATTAAGATATGATAGATTGTATGTTGTTGATCTGTTGACACATTTCAAATTTCAATAGTAGGATTGCTTTTGAAGATAGAAATATGTAGTATCCAGTCTAGCTTTCTTGTAGCTAATCTCTCATGTATTTCAATCTGATTATGGTTCCCTGCAACTCTGAAGATATTTCTTCAACATTGTGGCTTTGTCTTAGACATATATTTTAAGTAGCAAGTAGGTTATTGAGCTTATTATTTGATGTATTATTTTATTTTAGTTTTTAATTCATCTTCCTGGAAATTTCTCAAACAAATTTGCCACCAACTCATCCCATCAGATTGGGTCGTGAGAACCTTGAATGTATATCTAGTACTTTAGCTTAGCTTGTGTATGCCTGATTCTTTAATCAAATTCATTCCTACTTTCCTAGATGCTGCCTTACATTGGTTATATATTGATACTTTCAATTTGACAGTTTGGCAGTTTCCATGTAGTAGAGTATCTTATTATATAATTCACTACATTTTATAATTATTGACAGGCAATTAAGAAGCCACGTTGCAGCTAGAGTTGGATACTATAGGTGAAGAATGTTTAAAGGACAACTCTCTTATCATGCAACTTGAGGGACAACCTCTCCCTCTACTCCTCTAGACACCACACACCAGCCCAAGTCAGTACAAGCATAGGCGCATAGCTATGCTATAGTCTACATTCACATGCTTCATTATTGGTTATGACTTATGAGTATACGAAGTATATTAGGGATAAATTTATCATTGGCAATCGTGTATATCCCTCGGAAACTAACTTAGATGCAAATTGGATAACTGGCTCCAAGGATACGAAATCTACCAGTGGATATTTATTTACACTAAGTGGAGGGCACTGTCTTGAAAGTCATCTAAGCAAACTTGTATTGCTCGATCTACCATGGAATCTGAATTTATTGTTTTATATAAAGCAGGTAAAGAAGCTGAGTGGTTTCGAAATTTTCTAGAAGATATTCCAAATTCACCAAAACCTATACCTACTATCTGCATATATTGTGATAGTTAGTTTTGAGATTTATCATAGTGTTGTTTTGACTTGGTATATGAGAAATGAGATACTTCTATATGCACAAAGTTTTCGATAATTTTATGCATTTTATTTACTTATTATTGTTTCTAATAATGATATATGCAACTATGCATTATATTTACTTAGTACAAAATATTATTTATACTACAGTATATATAGTGGCCTAAAAAAAAACGGTATATACAGTTGGATAATATGATGGTCATTGTTTACAAAAAAAAAAAAAAAAAAAAAAAAAAAAAAAAGGAGAATTTCCTAGTGGCAGAAAGTTCGTGGGAATGGATAGTTATTAGCTAGAGTGGTTACTTTTTTTATAAAAATTTACTTTATAGTAATAAAATTTGAGAATTGGATACATATAATTAAAATAGACCCCAATATATTAGTTCGCCCATAGGCCTTTAAAATATCAGAAACGAGCCTGAAAGAGTGTAATCTAAAAATGCTACAAAAATAAGTTGAGAAAGAACAATTTATTATTGTGCAAGAAATATATAGTCCCCTATTCATGAAGGGACTCAATATTTTGGGGTAAAAATTTATTGAAGGGACTAAGTTTTTAGTCTAGTAAAATCAACATGAATTTTACCTTACCAAATTGTTAACTAGAGGTGTCAAATGGTGAGAAGGAAAAAAAATAAATAAATAAAATAAAATAAAATAAAATAAAAAAACTAGGAAGTTTTGATGAAAAAATAAAAAAGATAGACCCGATCTTATAAATAACTCCAAATAATTACATAAAACAGCTAGACATACAAAGCAGCAAATTAATATAAAACTTGCTAACATAGTTTTAGTTACAGCAAGATCATAAATGCGTCTAACATGATAAGGGGAAGGGGGTTATTGAAATGTTAAGGATTACAAAGATCTTTATAATATTCTTCACCACATCCGCTAATTTATTTTAAGTTGTGAATCTTAAAACCTTGCTACAAATATTCTATTAAATGTAAGCTAACGTACACCAGGGTTACGTCTAAGAGTATTATCAATAATTCCAAGTGATTCATACACTGCTTTCATCATATCCGGATAATAGGTGTCGTAATACAATCATTTGAACCTTGTTTTGAAAAGGTATCCCAATCTGCAAGAGTGCAAGGTAGATATTTTTCAGCAAATCATGGTCTAATTACATAATCAAATACTCATGTAATAGTGAAACATACCCTGCGCAAGCGAGAAAAATGTGAGAAAGTGTCTGACAAAAACTTGATTAAACAATCGACTTCGTCACTTGGATCCACTCTTTGTGGTGGTGCCCATGTAATGAAAGTACTTAGAATTTGATCATTTGACAACTTAGCCCTCCAGTTCTTTAAAACCTGTAGATGAGCCTAGTTTCTTCCAACAACATTCTTTGCGCATTCGACCAGCTCTCCAAGTTTGGTAATGCTATAAATTCTAGTTTGTTTTGTCCAAAATCTCGGCGAGTATAGAAATTTGGCAATTGAACTAGCCAATAGTTTTTAAAAAAAAAAAATCACAGGTTATTTTATGCGCATTAATTTCATAATTTTTTTTTATTTTTTTAAACGACATTAATTTCATAATATAACAAAATGAATCATTATAACATTTCACAAATCAGGCTATCATTTTCTTTTCCATAACATAAATTCATTATGTTTATTTAATATACGAAAACATTAAAAACACAGAACACATTAAATTTTTTTAAAGGGAAAAAAATAAGTAAATATCAAAAGCCAATACCAATGCTAATGTCAGTTACTAAATAAGTAAATAGTTTACAAGCTTCCGTAATTGAAAAAGACCCTATAATTTCTTAATCTGACTTCCCTTGTGGTCTCTAGGCTCACTAGTCACTATATAGCCTCATGGCCATCATCCTATATTTACTTTTTTTTGTCTTTTTTTTTTTAGCTTTTTTAAGGAAATCGTCCTACATTTACTTTGCTTTAAAAGATTATTACATTTCAAACATGGGATATTTGGGGTGAGAATGAGATTTTTAGTCCGGATGTTTTTTAATTAAGCAATGACGGGATACGATAACATGTATAAACATTCCCCTATTGAAGAGTAATGAGTCTAACGACTATTATCATTATTTATTTACTTTAAATAAAAATCAACTTACACTATGGTGGTCCTATTTTTAAAAATGATACTCCGTAATTCACTTGTTCGGTTATCCCATCAAAAGGAGTATATTAAATACGAATGATACAATACAATGAATTTTGAAAAACAATGAATTTTGAAAAATAATACTTTGTACGAAATATTAAAGTTTACCCCACAATAACATCTCCTGTTAAAGTGCGAGATATCAACTGAGTTTCATTATTGTTGATGAGTTGACAATCAATCCAAATTTGATCCAATAAGCTTTTCAAATCCATCCAAATCTTCTTTCCACCATCTACACACCCACAAATAAATTAGCATATTTGATAAATTAATTACAACACTTAATTAAATAGAAAAGTGAGGTTAATGAGTTACGTAAATACAATTACCTTGTATAATTGATTCTGCAACTGCTAACACGAGATAAGGTTGATCGTTGCTTATATAGATGCTATTCTTGTCCAAAAATAAATTAATTCCAGAGGAATAACCATGCATGACAATCAACCCCAAATCTCTACATATGTTATTGATAAAACATTAATAATAGGACCCTCGAAGCAGGCTGGTGGGTGTCTTGACCTTTGCGTGGTGTTAGGTTGCTTGGAGGTCCCGCTAGTTCCGATTCTGGTTTTAGTGGTGAGCTTGTAATGCAGAGGGTGACCAAGACCATTGCCCTTATGGATAAGGTCGCTATGCTCGATGATCCTCAGTATGAGCTGTTGTTACTTAGGGCATGTACCGGAGTTTCAAAACTCTACTTTGCATTGCGTACTTGTCCTCCTAGTACTTTTGAGGTGGCTCAGCGCACTTTTGATGCAGCTCTTCGATCTTCCATGGAGCGTATTGTTACTGCTTCGGGGCCTGGGTTTGGTGATTGGCAGTGACGACTTGCCACCTTACCATTTGCGTTTGGAGGGCTTGGTGTTTATTCTGCAGGTGATGTCGTCACTATGCTTTTCTTGCTTCTCGGTTACAGTCTGCTGGGTTGCAGACTCAACTTCTTCGGCATGCTGGCATTGTTGGTCTTGGACGAGCCTTTGAGGATGCGTTGAGTCTGTTTAATGGAACACTGGAGTCTGACATTTTGAGTAATCCTAGTGAGGTCGCTGCCCCTAAACCCATGAAGAAATTGGCAGATATATATTTCACAAAGGTTACCGCTTCTGCAGAATCTGCTTATTCTTTAACTCCTCGACAATCAACATTATGGAAATCACAGCAGGGTGATCGCACCTCTGCTTGGCTTCGGGCGGTTCCTATTTCAGGGTTGCACTAGGCGAAAATTGCTAATGGCCACCGGTTGAAAACCCCCCCATTGCCACCGGTTTTGAACCGGTGGTCATTTGGGGGGTGGCAATAAAGCATCAAATGGCCACCGGTTCAAAATCGGTGGCAATAGTCTTCATGGCCACCGATTAACTGGTGGTAATAATAATTATGGCCACCGGTTAACCGGTGGCAATAATAAATGGCGCGGTTTTTTTTTTGCTGCTGAAGGCTGACTATTGCCACCGGTTTGAACTGGTAAACCGGTGGCAATAAAAGGATCTAATTTTTTTTTTTTTTTTCCCTGCAATTATTCCTGCAACTGATCCTGCTATAATGTTCTGCCATATTATTGCTATAAATTCTGCCATAATATAATTATTATTAATAATCATAACAAGAATTAAAAATATATATTTAGACTACTTTTATAATTAAAAACCAAATGCAATACAACAAATTAAATAAAGTGTGACATATAAATAAATACAAACAATACTAATAACAAGTCAATATTGTAGTTTAAACGTTAATAATTAACAAAGTATAAATTCAAAATGATGCCACATTTACAAATTGAAGGTGATGAAAGATGCCAACATGTCTCGAACTTCATTAAGCTCCTTGCTTGTTAAAGGATCTCCCTTTTGCACCTTGAAAAACTTGGAATATATATAAATTATGTTAGAATAAATTAAATTAATATGTAAAAATTAAAATACTTAGGAAAATTAAAAACAGTCGCATTTTCATCCAAAATAGCCAAAATAAGGCCTATTTGACTTCTACTTGCCCATTTTCTACATTTTTAAACAAATGACTAAGTCCTTTCTCATAACATGTCAATTAAACTTAGTTATAGGTGGGTAAGCCTTGAAATCACATAAAAAGGGCATTTTACTAAGTTTAAGGTCGCATTTTCATCCAAAATAGCATAAAAAGGCCTATTTGACTTCTACTTGCCCATTTTCTACATTTTTAAACAAATGACCAAGTTCTTTCTCATAACATGTCAATTATACTTAGTTATAGGTGTCTAAGCCTTGAAATCACAGAAAAAGGGCATTTTACTAAGTTTAAGGTCGCATTTTCATCCAAAATAGCATAAAAAGGCCTATTTGACTTCTACTTGCCCATTTTCTACATTTTTAAACAAATGACCAAGTTCTTCCTCATAACATGTCAATTATACTTAGTTATAGGTGGCTAAGCCTTGAAATCACAGAAAAAGGGCATTTTACTAAGTTTAAGGTCGCATTTTCATCCAAAATAGCATAAAAAGGCCTATTTGACTTCTACTTGCCCATTTTCTACATTTTTAAACAAATGACCAAGTTCTTCCTCATAACATGTCAATTAAACTTAGTTATAGGTGGCTAAGCCTTGATATCACAGAAAAAGGGCATTTTACTAAGTTTAAGGTCGCATTTTCGTCCAAAATAGCATATAAAGGCCTATTTGACTTCTACTTGCCCATTTTCTACATTTTTAAACAAATGACCAAGTTCTTTCTCATAACATGTCAATTATACTTAGTTATAGGTGTCTAAGCCTTGAAATCACAGAAAAGGGCATTTTACTAAGTTTAAGGTCGTATTTTCGTCCAAAATAGCATATAAAGGCCTATTTGACTTCTACTTGCCCATTTTCTACATTTTTAAACAAATGACCAAGTTCTTCCTCATAACATGTCAACTATACTTAGTTATAGGTGGCTAAGCCTTGAAATCACAGAAAAAGGGCATTTTACTAAGTTTAAGGTCGCATTTTCATCCAAAATAGCATAAAAAGGCCTATTTGACTTCTACTTGCCCATTTTCTACATTTTTAAACAAATGACCAAGTTCTTCCTCATAACATGTCAATTATACTTAGTTATAGGTGGCTAAGCCTTGATATCACAGAAAAAGGGCATTTTACTAAGTTTAAGGTCGCATTTTCATCCAAAATAGCATAAAAAGGCCTATTTGACTTCTACTTGCCCATTTTCTACATTTTTAAACAAATGACCAAGTTCTTCCTCATAACATGTCAATTATACTTAGTTATAGGTGGCTAAGCCTTGAAATCACAGAAAAAGGGCATTTTACTAAGTTTAAGGTCGCATTTTCGTCCAAAATAGCATAAAAAGACCTATTTGACTTCTACTTGCCCATTTTTTACATTTTTAAACAAATGACCAAGTTCTTCCTCATAACATGTCAATTATACTTAGTTATAGGTGGATAAGCCTTGAAATCATAGAAAAGGGCATTTTACTAAGTTTAAGGTCGTACCTCATCAAGATGTATGGTGTTGGAACAATGAGTCGCTATGTCAAGCATGAATCTCATCACGTATAATCCACAATCAACTCCATTATCTTGTTTTGGGCACTAGCATAGGAACAAATCAAATGAATCAAACGTCACATAAAACCCACAATTTTTTTAGCAATGTTTATTAAGATAATCACAATATGATGTGGCATTACCATAGGTGATTTCCATGTAGGACCCCGTGGAGCACGACCATGTATCTTCTTCATAATGCTATAGGAAAGTAAATTCAAATTTGATTAGTTTGACTATTAAATGAGTTAGGTTAAGATAATCAACACTAGGTAGCTATATTTACTTTTGTAGTACAAACATCACGAGGTACTTCTTTGTTGATCGAGCTGAATCAAGGTGAAAGATTGTGTTATTAGCAGGACAAATCACCATGAGGAACCAATGAAACCTACATAAATTCACAATACACAAACAATATGTAGATATGTCAACTTTCCAATTTTAAGGAAAATCTGGCAGCACTTCCCCCTAGTTCTTCAAGTACAAGATGTAGATAATTACTTACCCACATATGTACCCATAGAACATGGAGAAGAAATGGACAGCCAAGATATTCCTTAAAATCGAAAAAAAGACATACATTCACCACCTAAGTGAGAGTAAACATTCAAGAACAGTCCCAACCGAGGACTATTCAAGACTTTCTCCTAATGAGAAAGCCTTGAACGGGTATCTAGGCATATGATGATGCAAACATTCAACATATTATTGTAATTATTTATTATTAAACAAGACACAACTTGTAATATCATGAACAAACTTTTATCAAATAGATAAATAGAAAGAAATATATATAGCTCCATAAAGTTTATAGTTCATACCAATATAGCAAGTATAATGGATGTAATGTCTCAAACTTCCCACTTGAATAGCTAATAAACTTGTGCTTCACTACATATGAATCTACAAAAATAAAAAATAAACAACAAAATAAAAGTTAGTAATTTTGTCATGAACTATAAAACAACCTAAAATTACACATTAAAACATACCAATTAATAATTACACATTAAAACATACTACCAAAATTCACCTAATTAAGTAACAAGGTTACTAATAATCTCTAATTTAATAAAAATTACCCATTAAAACTTATGAAAATTCAAATAAGTAACAAGGTTATTAGCTAATCTCTAATTTATTTAAATTTTCTTAATAAAACAACCTAAAATTCAGAAAAATTATAAGTCTAATTATAATTAATTGCATTTGGATTTCACCCAAATCCAGTCTTTGAATATTTCAGTTAAATTTTCATAATTTTAAATCCAACTTTAATACATGTCATTTCAAATCCACTGTTGCCTTCACCACCGTAGCGCACTGCCGATACGCCCGCTTGCAACTTCTTGACACTGTAAATCTTCACTATTGCCTTCACCTTCTAAAAATGGGTTTCAATACTAAGGCTTTTCAATAAAGTACTCCCTCTTATTTTAATTTCTGGTTTATATGATTTATTTAATTTCTTAGTTAGAGCATAATTTTTAGAGAGAGAAAAACAGAGGCATGCAAATTTGAAATTCCATGGCCTCAAAATACATAGTGACTTAATCATGGTTTCAAAATACATAGTGAATTCAAAAAGATTAATTTGAAATTTCTAAGTTTATCCAAACAAAGAATTTGGAATTCAATGTCTGTATTTGAAATACCAGATTTGAAATTCTGAATTTGAAATCAAATACTTGCATCCAAACACTACCTTAGGGTAAACTATATTCAAAACTTAAAATTTAATTTGCCTAAACATTGTTCAAAATGCAAAATAAATTAAAACTAACCCTAGGTGGGTGGAAAGGGAGAAGAGATGGTCGGTGGTGGAGGGACCGCAGTGTGGAGCGGCAGCGTGGCACAGTGGCGCGGCGGCGGGGGCGAGTAGGGCTGCTGTCTCGATGGAGCTGAGGTCACTGCTTCTTGCTGCTAGCTTCTGATAAGAGGAGGGCCGCGAAATTGGTGTGAACAGGTGGTGGAGGGGGTGCGCAAAGGTGGTGGAGGGTGGTGCGGTGGCGGTGGCTGTGGCTTTGTGGTGGTAGGGTTCGTTGGAGAGTGAACTTAGAGAGCTCAGTGAATTTGTGAATGAAACAGGAAAAAGAAAGAGGAAAGAGAAGGAAGAAAAGAGGGAGGAAGGCGCGATTTTTTTTTTTTTTTTTAATATAATTGGTTATTGCCACCGGTTCAAAACCGGTGGCCTTTATTATTATTGCCATGGGTTTTGTTTGAACCGGTGGCAATGTGGTTTTGCCTCATCCCGCCCATTTATTAAGCCATCGGTTTTCAAAAACCGGTGGCCATTGAGCGGTGCCTTTTTCAATTTTTCTACTAGTGTTGGGTCAGACGATGAACGCCAAAACTTATCGCTGTGTGTTTTCCTATCAGTTAGGTGTTCCATTGTTCTCTATCTCGACGTTGTGCTCTGCTTGTTCGAGGGTTTTTGCTGGAGATATTTTCGGTGATCACGCAGTGTCTTGTGCTGGTATTGTGGGTATTAAACATCGGCATAATGTTGTTCGGGATACCCTTGTTGATGTTTGCTATCGTTCGGGGATTTCAGCGAGAAAAGAGGTTGACATTGGGTTGGCCGAAGGGAACGACGAGGCCCTCAGACCCGCGGATGTGTTACTTTATTCATGGGATCGTGGTCGTGGTGTCTGTGTTGATTTGACAGGGTCTTCTCCTTTGACACAGTCAGGGCTATCTGACTTCATTCCTGGGCGGGTTGTGGCTGATGCAGCTCGTCGGAAGCGGGTTAAGTATGAAGCTCGATGTCAGGCGATTGGATATGGTTTCATTCCCTTCTCCTTTTCTTCGCTTGGGGAATAAGAGAAAGAGGTTGTTGCGTTAATGAAGTGGATTCAGAGGTTCTCGACGACGCAAGACATTGGGGCTCGTGCTGCAACTCATATCTTCACTAGGGTAGTGATTAGGGGATTTTTATCCACCAAGCACCGTTTGACAAGTGGACCAACCAGGTTCCGCCACGCGTCCTCCACGGACCACTTAAGACACGCCACGTGTCCACCCATGCCAAATGGGACAACCGGCCATCAAGGCCCATTTCAGTCTAGAAGCCCGTTCGGCCCTAGGTTTACCTTAAACCTAGAGAGTTGCACGCTTCCCAAGGCTATAAATACTCGATTAATCCTCATTAATCAGGGACCGAATACATTACGGAACACACTAATAACCGGCTGATCTCGCTAGCAAAGCAGATTACCTACATTAAATACTCTCACCTAGAGAGACCTTATTACTTTAATTTCTGTATTAATTACTCCTTAATCAGGTACTAACTTGACCGTTGGAGGCGGAGCTCTCAGGAGTCTCCGTTATTTTGCAGGTACAGGCGTCCGGTTCCAGTCTCGGAATTGTAACTCTCCCGCAGGACATCAGAAAACCCCGAAACATTTGGCGCCGTCTGTGGGGAGAGTACTTCAGAGATGGCATCCAAGTCTGTACCGACCCCAGAAGAGAGGCGTCCCCTAGACGACCCTCAAGTTCAGTCGGACCATGATACCGAAAGTGAATTTGAAGTTGAAACTCATACAGCTCCAGACGGGACCCTAAGGGCCCGCCGTACCCGTCATACTGAAATAAGGGAACGGGAGTATCTTCAAACAGGAAGCGAGCCAGCAGGCGCACCGCTTGCTTGGCAACAGCCGACTGATGGGTCTGCTCCGATCACAAGGAACGAACTCATGACCTTCATGAGGGGATTCAAGGGAGAGATCCAAGAGTTGATCAACAAAAAACCGCCTGCTTCAGTCAAAGAGCAGGCGGCCAAAAAACCTTCCACTTCACTGAAGAGGAAGCCAGTTCAAGGGCGAGAGGCGACTCCCCATCCTAAATCTAAGAAGCGGGAGCCGTCTGCTCTTGATTTCACAAAACTCCGTTATCCTACGGGAAATAGGAAACCGGTTCGTCATATTCAGGCGGACGGGTCAAGGCAAACGTTCACAGATGCTCGGCACCTGCTAGAGCAGAAGAAGAGTGACCGATTATCAGAGTCGGCTTCTACTTCAAATTTTCAGGACAGTTTGCGAAATGCCTCGATGAGGCCAACTCAGTCGTACCATGAGAGTCAGTCAGGCGGCACCTCCCGTCAGTCTGGCTTTCATAGTGCGCAGGCGGTACCAAATTTGCCATTTGTGCCGCAACAACAATATTTTATGCAGCCACCTCCATTTGGTGGACCTGCAGCAAAAAACGTCCAACCTATGGACTGGCAGCTACGGCTGCTTAGACTTGGTGAACAGCCGTCGGCCTTCTCCAAGGAAATTACTGAAGCCGCTCAGCCGGCCAAAGTAAAAAATGTTTTAGTAGGCGCCTATGATGGCACTACTAACCCGGAAGACCATCTGATGGCATTCACCAACCTGATGTACCTTCAAGGGTTGGATGATCCCACTTGGTGCAAGTGTTTCCCAGCAACTCTCAAGGGAATTGCACAGCAATGGTTCGGCAACCTGCCGACTGGTTGTGTAAACAGTTTCAGGACGCTTGCTTACTTATTTGCCTCCAACTTTGCAATGAACATCCCTGCGAAGAAAACGACCCTTGATTTGGGAACAATTCAGCAGGGTGAAAAGGAGGGGCTTCGTTCCTACATCAGGCGGTTCAACCTGATGAGAATACAGATTCAAGGGTTACCGGATGAGGTAGCTTATACTGACTTTTTTAGAGGTCTCAAAGACGGGTCTACCTTCAAATTTGATTTAGTTCGAAAAAGGGTGGCGACTCTTCAAGAGGCCTTGATTGAAGCAGAAGCCTATATACAGGCGACTGATCTGTGTACAATGAAACAGTCGGACGGGAAGAGGTTCGACAATAGAGAAGGACGACAGAAACAGTCGTCCAACAAAGATGAAAAAAGAAAAGGGGTCTGGGCGGCTGATTCCTCTAAACAGCCGGCCAAGAAGAAAAAGGAATTCAAACCATACTCCCCAAAGTATGTGTTTAACAAGGATAACCAGTTTATCCTAAAAGAAATAAAGGGACGGCTCTCAATTGAGAAACCGCTCCCCATGAAGGGTTCTGCGAGCAACCGGAACCAAGACAAAATCTGTGCTTATCATGATGACATTGGTCATCACACCAACGACTGCATTAGTCTCATGCGGTACCTAGACCGCTTGGCTGATCAAGGTGATCTTGACACTTATGTCAAGAAATCTACGGGGAATACTTCCTCAAAAAAGCAGTCGGCCAAAAAGAATCAACAGGCCGACAGTTCCGATACAGATGATGCAGTCGTCTACACCATTGCAGGCGGCTTCTCAGGAGGCGGCCCCACTATTAGGGGCAACAAAGATAATATAAGGCGGTTAGATGTAAATTCCGTTCACCAAGAACGACCGTCCAAATATACATTTCCTGAGATTGTCATCACTGAAGAGGATCTAGGAGGAATAAGGGGGCCGCATGACGACCCTCTCGTTATTGAATGTAAAGTGGCCAACCAGAGAGTTGGTCGAATCCTCATAGATACTGGGAGCTCTTCAGATCTCATCAGCAGCAAATGTCTGTCAAAACTGAAATATCAGACGGACTGCATACATCCGGCCTCCCACCCTTTAATAGGGTTTGGAGGAGGAGTCGTCCACCCACTGGGACGAGTTGATCTACCCGTCCGCCTGGGCGAAAAAGGGGAAGGACGACACATGGTAGTCCGATTCCTAGTTGTAGAGGAACTCTCTGCCTACAACATGATTCTGGGTCGCCCAACCCTGAATAGTGCCAAGGCTGTTATAATCCCGTCACTTATGCTGCTTAAGTTTGAAAGGGACAATGGAACAGTCGGCTCCCTAAGGGGAGATCAGAGGATGGCCCGAGAGTGCTATCTCTCGGATGTCAAACCCACTGCTAAGGCCACTGGCTCAAGTGGAGAAAAAACAGACCTTGAC